GAACTTTTGGTCTCCAGAGGATTTACTGAACTTTGGGATTGAGTGTGCAGACTCTGACACTTACTTTTAGAAAATTTTCCTAAATCGACTTTGCCTTTTCACCTTTTTGTTCTCCTCATGTCTTATGGAGTATCAGCAACATACCTGCTCCATTTTTTATACAACAGTCCTTCAGATGGCCACACTCTCTAGAGGATTCCAAGTTGGGGAAGTCTGTCTTAAATAATAGCGTTTCCCTTTTGTCTGTATTTGTCAGGAAAGCTGATCACAGTCTAAAGTTTCATCAGTCATGTTCCGGATGTCTCTATGAAGTGCCCTCAATTCCTTAAGTTATTATTTTACCTAATTACATGCTGATCAAAGCCCTCTTCAAGTACTATGTCTTGCCCTGAGCACCATAGAAAGACTCAGGGAGATTATAATGTGTTTATCATGGGCAACAAAACTCATCAGAAGACTGAAAACTAGGCCCTATGAGGAAAGGTGGATTGAACTGAGTATGTTTAGCTTTGAAAAGAAAAGTGATGGGAGATGTAATAGCACTTTTAAAATTCAGGAATTTGAGGCTGACTTATAGAAGGAAGACATAACCTGTTCTTTATGATTCTGTGATTTTAAGCTTACATCAAATTGCATGTCATTATATTGGAGGGTGGGGGAGAAGGCACTGTATTTATTGACACCATGATTGAAATTTCTAATAGCTGTATCTGATAGAAGTTATGGCAGCAAACCGTCACTATTGCAATTTAGATATTTTTCTAGTACACTGATACATCAGGCTTAAAGCTTTTCACCCCTGGCCTACCAAGTAAGGTACATGTGAATGTTCCAGATCTATGGCCTTCACAAGAACATTTTTCATGGATCATTTGCCATAGATTAGCATTTACTTTATATTAATACTTAGTTTAAACATTAACTCAGTGATTTACCTGAAAGGGGTACTAGGGCTAGGAAGCATTATTCCTGAGCTTCTGATAAAAGGTTATCATCTACAGGTAGCTGGGGAAAATCATCCAAGAAAACAAGTAGGGGGCTTTAGCTCCAGGCAACTGGCCATCCTAAGAAATGTAACAAATTTAGCTAGGAATATTACATAAGACTGTTATTTTGACTGTGTGTTTTTAAGTCTAATATCTTGTCTCTGCACAAGCTTAGTAATAGTATATTTTTGCCACTTGGAACTGCTTTACCACAGAGTAGCTTCTTAACAGAAGTAAGCCAGCATTATGTTATGGTCTGCCAAAGCCCTTTATGTTCTGTATTCTGTAGGAATATAGAATATATATTCTATGTTTTTTCTGTAGAAGATTCTTTGCAAATGTTTGATTTGAACAATTTTATATTTTTATACTCTTTCCCATTGAATATTTTTGCTTTTGACCACAGAGCCAGGAGGTGGCATTATAAAATTTAGCTTATTTTTCCTCTCTCTCTCTCTCTCTCTCTCTCTCTCTC